GGGACTGGTAGGAAATGAAGCTAGAAAAAAGCAGCATAGTCAGATTATGAACGTTTAGCCAAGGAGTTTAGATTTTATCCAATAAATAATGGGAAGACACTGAGAAATTTTAAGCAAGAGAGTGAATTACTGCATTTGTGTTTTAGAAATACTGCTCTAGCACTGAAAAATGGAGCAAGAGCCTAGAAGCAGGGACACCTGTTAGAAGGCTATTGAAACAGTTCAGACAAGAAATGTAGAGCAGCAGTGATGGAGAAATAGACTAATTCAAAAGATATGTAGGAGGAAGAACTACAGGATTTGGTAACCAATTAGACTGAGGTTTGAGGTTTGGTAGGAAGATAAAGGAAAGGAAGCAATCTAGGTAAATTCAAGGTTTCTAGCATGAGCTCTGGGTGGATGAAAGTACCATCAACTAAAACAGGGAACAGAGGGGGAGAAACAAGGTGAAAGTAAGGAAAGGTGATAAGTACAGATGGTGTTGGTACCTCTGAAAAATACAGAAACAGAAAAAATTGTCTCATAAACAAACAGGTAAGTCTAGAACTCAGGAGAGAAAATCTAAGGTGAAAAGATTGGGTGTTATTAGCCAGGAGAGTGAATGAAACTGCCTAGGGAAACTACAAAATAGAGCCAAAGACAAGAGCTCCAGAGCCCAACATTTAAAACACAGGCAAAGAGAAGTAAATGAAAACTAGTAGATGATGGTGATACAGAAATCTGGAAAAGAGAGAATTTCATGAAGAAGCGAGTTGTCAATATATTGAACCTATCAAAGAGGTGAAGGTAAGAACTTTAAAGCCTCTCTTGGATTTGGCATTTGAGAAACTGGTGACTTGAAGCAGAGAAGTTACAGAAGAATGGATGGTAAAGAAAGCTCAACTAGACAGGGGTTGAGTGAATGGCAGAGGAGGAAAGAGATGTTAATCTTGGCTAAGAGAGTAACAGTGAGAGAACAGAGGGTTGAAGAACATTTTCAGGATGACAGAGATTTTTAGCATTTTTACAGGATGAGAAAGGGACCAGTGAAGAGTGATATTTTTAAATTATGCCTCTGCTTAAACTTAGTATTTGGAACATCACCTATGATATAACGTTAAGTGAAAAAACAAGCTGCAGAACATGTATAGTACGATGTCACTTAAAATAAAATTTGACTCTTTTCCAGGGCCCTCAAGGCCTTTAGGTCCTTTATGACCTGGCCCCTGCCTACTTCTGACTTCATCATAGGCCGTTCTCCCCCTCACCACTATGCCCCAGTCACATTGGCCATTCTGTTCCGATGTTTCAACAGGCCAGCTTGTTCTTGCCTCAGCTTGGGGGTTTTGCACTTGCTGTCTCTTCTGCCTCTATAGAATGCTCTTCTCCCTGACTGTCAATGGCTGGTTCCTTCAAGCCATTCAGATCTCAATTTAAACATCACCTCCTTAGAGAGGCCTGCCAGCCTTTATGTAATATTGCATACTCCTCTACCCCAGCACCCCAACGTTACTATCATTACCTTGTATTAGCAACTACCTCTATCTGAAATCTTATTTGTTTACTCATCCATCTTCCCCCTAGCATGTAAGCTCCATGACAAGAGAGATTTCATCTGCCTTGTTCACCACACATCCCTACTGCTTAAAACAGAACAGTGCTTGGCACACAGTAGGCACTCTATTGTTGAATGAAAATGTGTACACACACACGTATACATGAATGTAGTATTTACATGAAAAACATTAGTAAAGTTCTGAAAGGAGTTATTATTTGAACTTATTTATACCAGGGTTGAGTGAGACTAGGAGAGGTTGACAATATCCATTCATTTTTTGCTTCATAGATCTCTATTCAAATTTTCTACAAGAAGTGTCTCTTGTAATTGAAAAACAATTTTTAAATAATGATCATACGAACCTAGGATAGGTAATCATTCTGCCTCTTTATTTTCTTCTCGTGGGTTGTCATGATCTAATCTGACTTCAGGCTGACCCTTGAGTTGTTTGGTAGGGCAGTTCAAAGTTAGACTCTTAAACCTTAGAGCTGGAAAGAACTTAGAGAGCATCTAACCAATCCCCTAGTTTTAGAGATGAGAAAGCAGAGACTGCTTAATTTAATTAATAAAAGTAGGATACTGATGAAAAATTTTCAAAGATCAAATGATTAAGAACTATTTAAAAGGTTATTATACGTTACACATAATTTAAGTGATAACTGACAAAAGCTTACTCTCATATGCAACCTACAATCTCCTGGTGAAATTATTACTCAAAGTAAAACTATTTCCTTAAGCACGCTATTTGACCAATGAACCCTATGGTTAAGCATCAGTTAACCATTATAACATGACAAAGGATCTGGAATACAGAAACCCAGGGAGTGAAAACAATTCCCCACTGGGTGCGCAGACTAAGTGAACTGGCAGGCAGGGTATACAATAAGTGGAATCTATAATACACTTAAGAACCCATTACAGTTTGATTCAAATTTCTGTATCAATCTCTACAATGTGTATTTAATGAACTTCAGTACAAATTAAATGTTGAACAGGTAAGAAATACATTATTAAATATCACTTACAGAAACTACTTAACTACTTCTCTTTACATATATACTGTAGCTTACCACGAATACAACAAATTTTATCTAAACTTTTGAATAATACCGTTTTATGTTTAACAAACTATCTCATTTGATCCTCACAACAACCCCACAGACAGCAGAAATTATTATTCCCACTTAATATACGAGAAAGGCTCAGAGGTTAAGGAACTTGACTAAGGTCACTTTCACAAGTCCTAGACCCAGAACCTCTACCTCTAAGCCACTGCTCTTTCCATCACCCAGGCTACCTCATATTTACCACTGATTAAAATGCAAACTGCTTTATAATTTCCTTCCTTCCACACTGGTGGAGGTAAGGGGGGGTACCTAAATCCTAGCAGTCCTATCCCTTGTTATTTCATTTGAAATTTTAGTACCTAAGAAAACATTCGTCGTGCATCTTCACAGTGAGAAGTGAGTCCCTTTGAGAATTGTGCTCATCAGTAATTCTGTAGGAAATCCTATCAAATATTCAATTATTTTTCTTAATCCAATAAAATTACCCCCTTATTTAGAAAGCTCTCTACAAACAACACCTAAAGCAGTGTTAAGAATATGGGCTCCGTAGCTGAAAAAGATCAAAACCATATCTTAGACCTATCACTCACTAGCTGTTCAACTGTGGGTACATTTCTTAACTTCCTTGAGCCTCACTGTTCTCATCTATGAAATGAGGGTAACACCATCTGCCTCTGTGAGTGGCTGGAAGAGTCACTGAGATAACGTGTGGAAAGCGCTTGGCTCTTAGAAAAGGGCCAGGTCAGAGTTGGTGATGTCAGAGAAACAAACAGATGTAGACAGGTACTGCTGATAGGCAACGTCACTTAAGTTATGTGAACTTGACCAGTAACTTCTGGTGTGACCTTACTTCTTTTTTTCCCCAAATATCTGGAGCAGGACACAATATATCACTCTTGCTCCCAGGGTACCAATTAAAGTGAGTGCTGGATTTCAGTCCTCTTTAACCCCTCTAATTAATATAGTAATAATCTATTATTTGACTATCTTAGAATTGGTTATAGCCAAATCAAAACTTACACTATTTTGACTCCTACTCTTTAGCTAAGTCTGCTAACTGTATCATTCACTATTTTGAGGTAAAGCTAATAACAGTAAGCCAATTATATAAATACAAATCATGAGCCAGTGAATTCAAGTTGGGTGAAAAGGGTAGGAAGTTTCAGGGGGAGTGGGGAGAGGGACTTCACAATGCGAAGTTCTGCACTCAGCAGTCCATCACGCGCTACATTTACTTTCTCTCTTCAATCGTCAGACGCATCATCTTACGCAGGAGGAAAGGGAAGCTCCAACTCTGTCACTCCCCCTGCTCAAGGTGCTCTAACCACTCTAACCAACAAGGCTCCTGCTCAATTCACGGCCTTTCCTCCTCCGATCTCTGCCCAGAATGCTCTCCCGTCTCCCTGCAAGGCCATCTCCTCCTGCTTCAGGTCTCACCTCAAACCGTACCTACTCTCACCATCTCTAAGGGAGCGTACACCCATTACCCCATCCTTGTTCCCTTCATGGAACATAAATGATCTGTATTCATCTTCCTCTCGGGCTCAAGGACAGAGATCCTCTGAGCTATCACTGCTGTATCCTGAAAGCTCCCCACGGATGACGCTGGCCTAATGAATGAACGGCCACACCTGCCTAGGGGCATTTAGCCAGTAAATGGCAGGGCCTGGAAACCCATCCAGGTAATTCTGCCTGCAAATTCCTGCGCTGCCCGACTACTTTTCTCACCAGTGGGAAGGGAGGCGCTTTGGGCTGGGAAACCAGTTTACAAGCCTGCCTTCCTACTTTCTATATTCATTCACTTTGAAGAAATTACAGAACTACCTACACCGAAACTTACTACTATAAAATATTTAACCGGAATTTCAAGAGATCTTACATTTCCTCTTAGAAGCACAAGCCAATTTGAAAAAACACTGCATTTACAATACCCCCTAACAATCAAAATACTTCAAGACTGTTGAGTAATTGGCATCTGCCCATACAGTTATTTAAAGCTACAAGAAAATTGAAGCCACACACATAAATGCATTTTACGAACAGGCTGGTAATAGTTTGTTCTTTTACAAGACGTTTTGAATTTCCCAAGACATCATACACAAAATCTTTAAAAACCAGCCATGGCACTGTCATTCTGACGATCGTAATAACGTCCTATCTTAAGGGAAGATGACACAAACACACTCCATCTGCCGCGTTTCACCACTTTCACACGGCCTTGCAGACACAAGTCACCGCCCGTACGACGCCCAGCGCCTGGAGCAGAGCCCTCCCCCGCCTGCCTTTGTCACCTTACCCCCGGCGTCATACTTACTGCTGAGTCCTCCATCCTCGGCCACTCCTGTCCCTCTCATTCCCAGGTAAGTCAGTCCCAGGATGAGGAAGAACAAGCAGGCAGCAGTCAAGAGGAACATCGACAGGTAGTGAGCGCTGAAGCCCCCGGTCGGGGACACCTCCTCGCGCTTGAACTGCTGGAGCAGCTCCTCCTCGGGCTCCGACAGCTTCGGCTTGCCGTACGCGTTTTTCAGGTAGGTGTGATTGGCGCCCGTGTGATTGGCGTGATTGATCCTGAGCGAGCTCGAGGCTGCCGCCGCCGCACCGGGCGGGAGGCTGTTGGGGAAGATCCTGGGGGCGTCCGCGCCGAACGCCCCCCCGCCGACGTGATTGTTGGTCTTCAGGAGGGAGCCCGTGGAGGGATCCGAGGCGGGGTCCGCGTCCGCCGCCGGCGGGGGCAGGAGCGGGGCCAGCTTCTTGGCGGTGACACGGAACCGAGGCACGAGGCCGGCGTCCAGCGGCTCGCACCCCCCTCCCTGCTCCGCCGCCGCCGCCGCCGCCTCCTCGAGGCCGCGGCCCCTGTCTAGACCGCCGGCCGCCGCCGCCCTGTCACTCAGCGCGACGCCTCCCCCGCCCGGAGCCGAGGGCTCGGCGCGGCCGCCGGCGGCTCGGGCGGGCGGCGGGGACAGGGGCTTGCTGTGGCCCCGCCGGGGCCGCGGCCGGGACAGGGGGTCGTCCTTCAGCACCTGCCTGGCGGAGGCCACGTCGGCGTCGTCTTCCTCCTCCGAGTCCGAGTAGTTCTCCCGGCAGCTGTAGGGGAGAAGCCGGCTGCCGTTCACGGCGCGGCTGGCCCACGGCGGCTGCTCGGCCTCGGGGTCGCGGTCCCCGCCGTCCTCTCCCGCCCCGCCCTCGCCCTCCGCGGCCCCGTCCCTCCCCGCCGGGGTCTCGGGCGCCGCCGGCCGCCGCGCCCCCCACCACGAGTGCGGCTTCCTCCGCTCGGCCGGGGTGCTGTGGGTCCCCTCGCCGGCGGCCAGAGGCGCCGCCGGCGGCCTGAGCGCGCGGGGCTGGAGCGGAGCCCGGTCTCTCCTGCCGCCGCCGCCGCCGCCGCCGGCCTGGTCCCGGGGACTGGCCTCCGCGTCCGACTCGTCCGAGCTGAAGCCCAGCAGCACTTTGCTGCCGGCCGTGGGGGCGGCCGCGGCGGCCCCGGGCCCTCCCAGGGGGCTCTCCGGGCCCGCGGCCGCGCTCCGGCCCAGGCCGCCCGCCGTCCGCAGGGAGGAGAGGTCGCCGGGCGCCGGCCGGCCCCCCAGCCCCGCCGCCGCCCCCGCCGGTCCCGCGGCGGCGCCCGTGGCGGCGGCCGTGTTATTGTTATTGCTGTTCCGCGTCTTGCTGCCGCGGCCGCCGGGCCGGTGCTGCTGCTGCTCCTCCTCGCGAAGCTTCTTCAGCTTCTTGAGGTAGACCGGGCGGGTGCTCTCCGTCACGGGGCCCGGAGACAGGCCGTAACGGCGGAGCTGAGAGAAAAGCTCCTCATCCGAGAGCTGCTGAGGCGCCGAAGCCGCCGCCGCCGCCATTTTCTCTCCAGGGTGTTTTACAAGCTCCGCGCTACCGGAAGTGACGCGCCGCCCTAGACCCTGAACTAGACCGGTTGCGTCGCGCTCGCGGCGCCGGGCGCCTCGGCCAATGGGAGGCGCGGGCGGAGCTCACCTGAGCGGGAAAGGGCCACCTGGGCGGGGGCTGGCCGCGCGCTCACCTGGGGCCGGGCGCGCGCTCACCTGGGGGTGGGCGCGGCCCCGCCGGCCTCTCGCCTTCGCGCGCGGCGTCCGCCGTGCCCTGCCTGCCCGGTGCCGTCCCCAGAGCTGCCTCCTGCCAAACCACACCTTGACCTCTTCTTCCCGGGCTCCTGCCACCGGGCAGTGATAACCGAGAGGACATCTGCCCTGAAGTTCACGGTGTTCGTTTTCTCTCCATCCAGGTTCCCGCTGCCGAGGGAGCCCAGCGAGACTAAAGAATCCCGGAGGGCCAGACTGGAGTGGCAGTTTCCCTGTCTGGCTGCTGGCTCTCTCTTTACACTTTGTCTTTCCGCTTGACTTAAAAAAAAAAAAAAAGTGAGCTTCTCTCGCTGCTCTTTTTGAGAAGCCTCTGCTCTTCCATTCCGAGGAAAAGATAAGATACGGGGCAGACCACTCCCGACACAATTTTCTTCAAGACGAATGGCTATTCATTCCTTAGTTGGTTGTAAGATATTATCATTTTTCCCCCTTTTAAAATCTGATGACGTCGATAAGTCATTTCTGTAGTTGAAAGAGCCTTATTTGCTTCTTTCTGTGAAAAAAAAAAAAGACAACACACCATCCTGCTGATTTCCTTCTTAGCACCTTTCCAACCTATATTTATTTATTTATTTAATGATTATTGGTATGCATTTTTAATTTAATTTAATTTTTTGGTGAGGATGGTTGGTCTGGAGCGAACATCCGTGCCAATCCTCCTCTTTTATGTATTTTTTCAATTATAGTATTTAATTATTTATTGTCTCATTGCTTTGAACTGTAAGCTCCATGAGCAGAGGAGCCTCCCTTCTATTATTCGCAGCTTCACTCCTATAGTGCCCGAAGCCAGAAGTTCACTAAACATTTGTTGAACTAATGAATGAATTGCAAAGCTAGGATAGTATGAGATGAGTATTTTGACATGGGAACAGTGGCAGAGGAGGAGGAAAAGCCTTCACACAAAGTCGAAAAACTCGAGACAATTGAGACTTGGATATCCAGCCCCCTCATTTAGAGAATAGGAAATGAATCCCAGAGAGGTGAAACTTGCCCCATTCGGTGAAGATGGCTTCCCTTTTCCTGAAACCCCAGCAGAGCTGACACTCCTGGAGCGCTGAAACCCTAGCAGCTGCACAGCGGCACCCAGCACGGTATCTGGCACATTATAATAATTTTTCGTCGAATGAAGTGTTTTATCCTATTGCATTATACACAACTGAACCAAAACGTGTTAGTCAAAAGCACAGATACCGACTTTTCAACATCCAACAGCAACTTGAATTTTCGACTTCTCGTAGTAGAAGCTTGCCATGTCAAAAAAACTTTTCTGTGGAGGGTCACTTCCTTGTCCTTTATCAGGAGACTTTAAAATTTATAAATGTTCCTGAATCTGTGACTGTTAAGCACTTATAAGACTGTTTGACACAGTACATTTTATCCCCTATCATGATAATGACCCAGAATTTATTACCATAATTTTCTGGGTGGAGAATCAAATGATTGCAAACTTGCTGGACTTGTGTCTCAGGATAGCAGCAGTTAAACTGTGAGCTTTGGAGTTAAAACTGGATGGGACCCAGCCCTGCCTCTTACGTTTACTCTTAGTTCAACATTTGTTCCACACCCTACTCCTCTTCAGGTAGGAATCAGAGGAGTCTGTTGGTTCAGCCTCTGATTTTCATGAACCTTTAAATACCTTTATATAAGGTTATCTGACTCTTTGTATTTCTGCCTGTGACTTTGGATAAGTTATTTACTCTTTCTGAGCCTTAGTTTCTGTATAAACAAAAGAGGAATGATTAACCTTCCTCAGCAGGCTATTTTCAGAATTAAATGAGAATATATCTGCAAAATGCTTTAGCACCATGCCTGACACACAGTGTGCACTCAATAAACGTAGGCCAATATTGTAAAGCCAAGCACGGTGCATGTGTGTTTGGTAGCATGGCTTCTGGGAACTCCATCTAAGAGCAGTTAAAGAAAGTATGACTACGCAGACAGAAACAGAAGTGATGAAACTTTGCCCAAGGTATTAAATAATCACATTTAATAGTTAATGAAGATGAAGGGCTTTGGCCACCTTAGTCCTTGGTCATTTCAGCCCTTGGGGGCAGCAAGGTTTTGGATGACCTAGGAGCGAAAGTTCTGGAGTCTCCAAGTTCTGTGACTTAGGGCAAACTTAGGCTCTCAGAACCTCAATTTATTCCTTTCTAAAATGTTGATAATATTGTCTACTCTCCTTGGCACACAATTAATATTCAATAAGTATTTGTTGAGAATGATGAATGAATTCTGTATGTGAAAATACTGTTCAAATATATTGTTTACCTGTTAGGTATGATAGCCAGATATTAATAACAATGAAAACTACAATTGATATAAAATTTACACTTTACAAAGAGCCTCCATATAAATAGTCTCCTGTCCTCTACAAGAAACCCCTCCTTGAAGACACTGAGGGTGTGATTGATTGCATGGAGCTCCCTGGGGTCATATGCCCCTTGTTTGGGCGTTCGAGCAGACCCAATGCTTCCTCGGGAGAACCTTCTCTGTCTCCACACTGTCACCACCCACTCCCACACCGACTGCTCCTTTCCCGATGGGTCTTACTCCAGCTTCCAGACGGGCCAGCTTTACAGCACCAGGCTCTCACCTGGCAAACTGCACTGGCATGCCTAACGGGGAATACAATCTCAAACTTACTCCTGCCTTATAGCTTCCAAAAATTTGACTAAGGGAAACATTTATGATGGATTGCAGAAGGATAGGCAGTTCCTCTCTTCCTCTAGGTGTTTTTAATTTCATCTCTGCCTTAAGCCTGCTCATCAGAGACCTGTGTAGCTTGGGCCACATTCCTAACCCTGTACTTTCCCCATTCCCAAGAAAATACCTTTCACCATGTTGCCCTTCGTATTAATGACATCAGCTTATGTTGAAGGACCTTCTAAAGAATGATATGAAACCTGACATTATATGCAAAGAAAAATTTTGCTGAGGGTTCATTTCCTTAAGGAATGTCCTTTCTGGTCTCACTCTTAGAAATAGTTTCACTTTTCCAGACAACTCATTTGTTTTTGTTTTGGTTTGGTTTTGCTTTGTTTCGTATTTTTTTGAGATGAAATTCACATAACATAAGATTGACCATTTAAGTGTACAGTTAGTGGCATTTAGTATATTTACAATGTTGTGTAACCATCACCTCTATCTAGTTCCAAAACATTTTCGTCACTCCCAATTAAGTAGGCATTCCCTATTTATCCCACTCTCCAGCCCTTGGCAACCACTAATCTGCTTTCTGTCTCTATGGATTTAACTGTTCTGGATATTTCATATAAATGGGATCATACAGCATGTGACCTTTTGTGTCTGACTCCTTTTACTTAGCATAATGTTTTTGAGGTTCATCCATGATGTAAAATATGTTAGCATTTCATTTCTTTTTTGGGGATGGGGAGAGATTGTCCCTGAGCTAACATCTATTGCCAATCTTCCTCTTTTTCTTGAGGAAGATTGTCACTCTGCTAACATCTGTGCCAATATTCCTCTATTTTGTATGTGGGAAGCTGCCACAGCATGGCTTGATGAGCAGCGTGTAAGTCTGCACCCAGGATCCAAACCTGCAAACCCCAGGCCACTGAAGCGGAGCTTGTGAACTTAATCACTACACCACCGGGCCAGCCCTGCCTTCATTTCTTTTTATGACTGAATAATATTTCATTGTATAGTTATACCACATTTTGTTTATCCATTCATATACATTTTGGTTGTTTCCACCTTTCAGTTATTGTGAATAATGCTGCTATGAACATTGGTGTACAAGTATCTGTTTGAATACTTGTTTTCAATTATTTGGGGTATGTACCTGGGAATTTCAGATTATATGGTAATTCTATGTTTAACTTTTTGAGGAATCACAAAACTACTAATTTGTTTTTAACCTTGTGGATGGACACTGTTGGTTTGGTGACTTGCCGTGTTTCTCTCTTTGAGGAGACAGCTGAGAAGTTCGGACTCAAATTTGTGGCCCAGCAATAGCAAGTATTTAAGGCTCCATAGCATATAGTTTATAAATTAATCCCATTGCTGACTCCGTCTAAATTTCCTAACTTTATGTTCATGTGCCTCATTCCTTAAAATGATTTTAATTTTATTTTATCTTCCTAATATGATATACATCTTTTTACCTGCCTCTTAATTATTTTGGAATACCGTATAATTCCTCTGACAATCCAAGGGGTAGGTTTTATTATTTTTCACCTTTTATGGATAAAGAAACCAAGGCCAGAAAAGTTCCTTCATTCAAAGCTCAAAGGGAGTCAGGTGGAAAACAAACCCATGACCTCAGACTCCAAATCCATGTTCTTTCTGCTACAGCACACTACCTCTTGAATACTTTTCTTAAATCACACAGTAATATGTGTAAAAGTAAACTTTTTACTTACACATAAACTTTATATAAACCCATAAAAGTTCCTTCTTTTCTCACCCACCCTAAAGAGGGAGGAGTCCGGAATGGGGTGAGGGAAAGGACAAAAGTTTTGACTGTTCTTCTATTTCTTAGTTTTGTTGCTACATGCAGCGACTGGAGAGAAATCTCGGAAACATAGAACTAATTATATCACTTAACTCTTTAGCAGATCGAAGAAATAACACAATATTATAATGATGTTATCACTTAACTTCTCTTAAAGTGCCTTGAGGGTGTGTTCACTAGTTTTGATCTACAAAGTTCCTGATGTTTATTTTTCTTTTTAATTGCTCAACTTTTATTCAACGCTAACACTGCTTCTAAAAAAGAAGCCAGAATAAACAGGCTGAAAATACAACATGGTCTTGAGAAACGTTGAACAGAATTCTTATGTTACTATGGAATTAGCCAAGAAAGTTTCATAGCAAGAGCATCTGTTTTATTTTTTTTGCATATAACCCAAACAGGTGAGGAATGGTCATACAATTCAAGAAAACAACATACATACGATTGATAATTATATTCTACTCTATTCAAGAAGATGAGCTGCTAAATCGTATACTGGAAGTTATGGAGAGCATTTCTCATTAATGCGTGATGGACAAGGGTCTCAAAGTTAGGAGAGTTGAGTTCTATTCCCAGTTCTGCAATTAATTAATTGTAATAATATTTTACATTCTTATATTGCCTCATAGTCTACAAAATCATTTCACTGTCCCCTTTGATCTTTACACCAATCCTAACAGGCAAACATTATTGTCCTGGTTCTATAGATGAGAGAACTAAGGATTGAGACATTTCAATCATTTCTCCTTTATGAGAGCTAGTAAGGACTGAGATCCAAAATTACCCCTAGGTTGTCTGACCCTAAGTTCACTGTTCCTTCTAGCCCACCATGATGCCTCACAGGAGTAGATTGGACTGCACAGAATGAGTCATTTAACTTTTTTTCTTTTAGTTTCTTCATCCCTAAAATGAGGAAGTAAGAATACTTCACCACTAAGAACACTTAGAAATCCAAAACTTTCTGAAAGCACTTTCTTATAGTGCTTATTGTTGTACTTTATATTCTAGTTACTTATACGCTTGCCTTATTTTTCCCTCTGTGTTCTTTGAGATGAGGGTCTGTGTCTGAACGAAATTTGCATCCCTCCCAGCTCGTAGCTTATTGTTGGATGTGACAAATAAATAGTAAAGTGATACCATGTGTGGCAGAATAGCTTTAGGAAGACACTGAGGTGGCACACAAAGAAGAAATACATTAGGGATAGGACTCTTGCAGAAGTATCTAGAAATAGGAGAGAAATGCGAGTCTACAAATTCATCATGAAGTTTAAGGAGTACACTGCAAAGAGGCTGATGGCCCAGGCTGCTCTGGAGATTTGGTTTCCTTAAGCAGCAAGAGCATTTTAATACCAGTGTTTTCTTGTCCCACATCACATGAGCAATGGTGTAAACAAAAAGACGGAACATTGGAATTTTCCAATGATGACCCATTCTCTTCAACCCCACCCTTTCTTTAAATGTCGTTTCGTTTGTTGTAAGAGAACTGCGCATGAAGCAGGCATAGAGGATCGTCAGGCTGTGTTCTATAATACTTTCACACTCTGGTTTATGTATCCTTGGGTGTTTCTTCTCTGTTCTTCCAGGAGCTTAGGCATGGGCAGAAGGGATAGCAGGGGGAGGGACGCTGTTAGTTATGGTTGATGGGATAGAAAGTCTCATGATTGAGACTTGTTCCTGGCCTCTGCTGCTTGCCTCTAAATGAGAATGCTTCCTGCCCGTCCGCTCAAGAAGAACATTTCTGAATGGTTTATGTTCTTTCGTTGTTCCTTTGGCCCTGAAGATCAGGTCTACAATGAGCAGCAAGACTCACTGTGTTCCCCTCCCTGCTTCAAAGCCCAAATCGTCTCTCCAGACAAAGCTGGGGCAATCTTAAATACGTCTCATTTGTTTTCCATTTCTCAGGGATCACTGTCCTTCACAGCCTGATGTCCAATGTCTTGAACCTGTTGTTTCATTTTATTTACAGTTGTTTCAGGCTAAAGGATAAATCTAAACCTTGTTATTCCATTTTGACAAGAAGAAATCCCAGTGTATGCAGGTTTAATAAACTAATCTCTCTACTTTTTTTTTTATGCTGAAGAAGATTCGCCGAGTTAACAACTATTGCCAATCTTCCTCTTTTTTTGCTTGAGAAAGATTAGCCCTGAGCTAACATCTGTGCCAATCTTCCTCTATGTTTTATATGTGGGTCACTGCCACAGCATGGCTGACAAGTGGTGTAGGTCCACACCCAGGATCTGAACCTGTGAACCCGGGCCACTGAAGCAGAGTGCACCAAACTTAACCAGTAGGCCATGGGACCAGACTCCCTACATTTTTTTACATGTTTGAAATGTTCCAAAATAAAAGTTTTTTTTTTTTTTTAAGTGAAGACCTGATGCCTGGTGATATAGATTTTTAAAGGAAAACAGTGTTGTGTATTTGGAATTTTATTTAGTTGTGTAATAGCATGTTCATCTGTGCCTATACTGCCCCCTCAGATATCCACCATTTTGTTGTCTGAATTTGGTATTTACTATTCTCATGCATCATCTCATTCCTCTCTCTCTATATATATGTATATATCAGACAATAAATATAAAACGTGTTTAAGTTATTTTAAAATTTTAAATATATCATTATATATGTATGTGTATATATACATATTCTTCTGCAACTTACATTTTTACTCAACATTTTGTTTGTGAGATTCAGACATAAGTAACTCTAGTTCAATCATTTTAACTGTATCAAATCAATGAATAGCATGTTTACTTTTTAGCTGCTGGTGTATATTTTGTCACGTCTCTGATTAAGACTACAGGGTTTAATCATTCAGTTGTTCAACAAATATTTATTGAGTGCTTATTGTGGGCCAAACATTGTTCTAGGTGATGGGGATACTACAGTGAACAAAATAGAGATCATAGACCCTAGCTTTCAGCTTAAGAAGATAGACATTAGGCAAATAACATGTCATACATCAGTTGGTGGTAGGTGCTAAGAAGAAAAATAAGCAAGGTAAAATGGGAGAGAGGGTAAAGGTGACAGGTAGACAATGCTGTTTTGTGCGGGTGGTTAGGAAGATCTTTCTGATAGTGACATCTGAGCAGCCATCTGAAGGGAATGGCAAGGGCCAAACCCCAGAGCGGGAATGTGTAAGGTGGGATCATTCTTGCAACAGGAAGGAGGCGGGTATAGCTGGTGTAGGGAGGGGGATGAGCCATGGGGGATGACATCAGATGAGTGGTGGAGCAGGAGCGCAGATCCTGGGGGCATTGGGGGCCATGGTAAGGACTTTGAATTTCACTCAGAGTGAGATGAGAAGCCATTGTAGGATTCTGAGGAACAGAGCGACATGATCTAACTTACTTTTAGGACCTGTCATGTTAATAGGCTTAAGAAGGGGAAGGGAGAAAGGAAAGAGACAGGTTAGGAGGCTCCAGCAAAAATCCAGGTAAAAAAGATTGTGGTTTGGAACAGAGTGGTAGTGGGAAGAAGTGAGAAGCATTTGGATTCTGAATATATTTTAAAGGGAATGCTAAGCAGGATTTGCTTACCAATTGGATGTTGGATGTGAGAGAAAGGGGTCAAGAATGACTCCAAGGTTTTGGGGCTGGGTATCCAGAGGAAGGAGTTGCTGTTTACGGAGATGTAGCAGCCTGGGGATACAGTAAGTCTTGGGGAGAGTCAAGAGATTCTTTTGGATGTTGTGTTTGGGACTTTCAAGTAAAAGATTCTGGTAAGCAGAGGTATGCACGCATCTTTAGTTCAAGGGGGAAGTTCTAGGATGAAGTCATAAATGTGAGTGTCAGCAGCAGATAGCTGAAATTTAATGACATGGAAATTAGCAGGATAGAAAAGAGACAACATGTGAGAACTGAGCCCTGAAGTTCTCCAACATTTAGGGGAAGAGAAGTTAAGAAGGAACCTCAAAGAAAACTGAAAACAAGCTGGTGGTGAGAGAGAGGAAACCAAGGTGGTGATGTCTTAGAAGCTGCTAAGCCGAGTTTCAGAAGCTCTCCTCACATACTCTCCTGTGGATAAGGGACTCTTCCTGTGCAGGCCTAAGGTTGATGAGTCCCAAAAAGTTAAGGAATTCAAATATATGCTTGTAAATTAAAAAGTAATTTTTTAAAGCTGCATTACAAGTAGTGATACGATATTAATTTTATTTTAATTTTTTTTAATGTTTATCCATGTTGTCAACAAAAATAAGTTTCATAAGTATTTGAAGTAATGTCTCAACTTGTCATTCTCTTCTATACTCATATTACTTAGGTCCTCTTCTTGGCATTTTGATATTGTTATATAAAAGTCCAAGAGGTGCATTTTTTCTAAAGGAAAGAAGAAATAACTGATTGCTAAAGTCTGCACCTTTTAAAGTTCATGTAAAAAGATTAACTGTTTTTATTTAAACTAGATGCATTATTGTTATTAAAGTCCTTAGTATCCACTGGTTTTGGGTGGGGTCTGAACTACAAAATTCAGATTCAGTAACTGGAAAACTCTTTCTAGTTTAGCTCAAGTCGTTCTTTAATTACTTAACCAAACCTTGTTGGTTTCAATTTGGTGTTTTAGGACTCCTTTAAAAGCCTGTAGCTCTTACAGGCACTGCACCTCTGCTCATGTGGAAAATGCAGCATGAGTGTCTTAATCATCACGAAAGCCACCAGAATGTACCTTGATGAAGACAAACGTGCCAACAAGACATGGGTTATTCTTGAGTGTGGGCCAGCATGACAGATTTCTAAAAATTCAAAAAGCTGAGAGGGATCTTAGAAAGTATGTAGGTAAATCCTATTGTTTTTGAGGTTAAGAAGATAAGGCCTATCCAGTTATATTATTCGTCCAAAGTGTTTCAACTCGTTGGTGAGAAAATTAGGGTGAGAACCCAGCTACCCCGACTTCCAGGTGAGTTCTCTATGCTATGGAGCTATATTTTAAAGGAAAAAAGTAGCAGGATAAGAGAAGCTTGTCTGATTGTAACTTGATTTAGGGTCTCTGGCCTTTTTTCTTGTTTTATATCAATACTCTTTTGGCACTCATGTGATCTCACTGAACTTTAAAATAACTGTATTGAATAGGAGGTTCACGTTGTCATCATTCTCATTGTATATGGGTGATGAAATTGAGGCAAAGAGTTTCATCTACTTCTTCAAGATCATAAAGCTAGTAGATGGGACAGTACCCAGGTCTTCCGAATTCTATTTAACTTTTCTTTCTACAATTAGTCAGATCAGGAGAAATATTTAAATGATCTAACAAAATAATCTCGGTGAAAAAGAATCACTTTTGTGTAGCACACCAGTTGGAAGACAAAGGGAGACAAGCTGATGATGGGAAATGTAATGGCTGAAAAAATAGTAACAACTCACAGTGTTGCCATAGTAGCAAAACTGAGCAATTAGAGGCATTGATGCAAATTTCTTTGAACAAAAAACATCAAATTCTATGAAAGAAGATAATTTTTGGTCAGTCCTTACATAGTTTCAAAATACCAACTGCACAAGTGCAAGGATAGATGAGTCGATTTAAATTAACATAAGTTTCTGCGTGAAGACACGAGAATTTTCGTTCACTGCAAGCAGAAGGGAATCTAATGTTATGACAAGGCTGCCAAAAAAGCTAATGCACTCATAAGCCACAGTGATAGAAGGGTGTATGGAGTAAGCTTTGCTCATTATACCAAAGTTGAATCACTAGGTCACATCTTGGTGCCACATTTTAGGAAGGACACTAAAAACCTAAAGTTCATATAAGAGGAGGATGACCAGAATGGAAGTCTGGAAGCCATTTCCTTGGAGGAACTTTTGAGGAACTAAGCTATTAATTTGAAAATAAGGAGAATTGAGTTCTTTAAATTTATTCATTCACTCAACAAAAATTTATTGAGTGCTTACTCTATGTCAGAATAGGTAGGACCTTTCGGGGGACTGCAAAGACTTTGGCCAGTACCTGAGTGAGTTGGGGAGCCATGGGGAGGATTTTAGGTAGACGAGTGACTGTATCTCACATGTGTTTGAGACGCCATTCTGGGAGTTATGTTGAAAATAGGCTGTTGGGGTGGGGAAGGGTGGCAGCCTGGAGACAAATGAGGTTATTGCAATAATCTAGGCAAGAGCTGATATTGCTTAGACCAGGGTGGTATCAGTGGAGGAAAGAGAAGTGATTCGATTTGGGATATATTTCATATAAGTGAGAACATTTTTTAAATAATAGGTTAAACTGAATTTAAATCTCTGTGTCTCCAGAGGATAGCACCAGGACCCATGGATGGAGTTGGGAGGGCGGATGGGAGCAGGAGGAGGGAATGTGCCAGTTGGCAGATCTTTCAATGGCAGAGAGAGGAGGTGAGCAGAGCTGGAATATGCCTCTCTCCCTCCAATGTCATAGCATTTTTGACTCAATGTCACAGAGGGAAAAAAAGTTCACAACTGTCAGAAATAGAGAATTTCAAAAAGTTCATGAAATTAGCAATATAAATTGTAAAGGATAAAACTGCTATTATATTTGTTCTATAATAGTGTAAGGACAACACGTTCTTTACAAAGCATAAAGGGAGAACAAAGAAAGACTATGACCTGCCACTTTCTTGAGAAGTCACTTAGAATTATTACTTGTAAGTTATTTGCATGACCACCATCACCTCTATCCCCATTCAACCTGTAATCATTTTTTTGCACTCTACAACAGTGAAACATGAAAGAAGAAATAACTAATAGGAAAGTGAACAGCAAGGCTAAATATGGATAAATATTTCTACCTCAAATGGTCTGATGGGAAGGTAATTGAAATTGGACTTGAAAATCATACCTATGCCATTTAGAGAAGAAGAATTGGAATGTGGGCTGAAAGCAAGTCTAACATAAAAACATGGGAGAATTCTAGCTGTTAAAAGTATCACAATAGGGGCCGGCTCCGTGGCCGCTGAGTGATTAAGTTGGCAGCCCAGGGTTTTGCTGGTTGGGATCCTGGGTGCCAACATGGCACCTCTCATCAGGCCATGCTGAGGCAGCGTCCCACATAGCACAACCAGAAGGACCTACAACTAGAATCTACAACTATGTACTGGGGGGCTGTGGGGAGAAGAAGAAGAAGAAGAACACTGACAACAGATCTTAGCTCAGGTGACAATCTTTAAGAAAAAAATGTATCACAATAATGAGCTGACTTTTTGATACCTTATGAGTATTCTTAGTAATTGGTAGTAGTAATTTGGTACTGTATTATAATCATGAGTTTATGATTCAGTCAGTAATTGTAAGTTAAAGCTCATCATTGTTGGTATATATTTGTATATAATCAGAATTACATTGTTGATATAAAAGTTTATTGATTCTTTATTTATCAAATGTCTTCTATGTGTCAGGCAATGTGTCAAGGAATTCAGCCCTGAACAAGATAAACACTGTCCCCTCTCCTCAAGCAATGTATACTCTGGCTCAGGGATTCTGAAATGTTAATGTACTTCAAAATCAGCTGAAGAATTTGTTAAAATGCGAATGCCCCGCTCCTTGCACTCCTGCCCCTGCAGAGTGCTGATTCAGGAGCTCTGGAGAGAATCCCTGGAGTCTGTCTCCATTTTCAACACGCTTCCTGGGAGATTCGAATGTGGGTGGTCCACGGACAACACTTTGAGAAATCCTAGAATGTGACAGAGCCTCTGGGGAGAGACAGTGGGTCTCTGTCAGCCTCTCGGGGACAACAGCTGGTGACTAGAATCAGGATGACTGCTTACAAGCAAGCGGGTAGCCTTTGGTGAGAAAGATGATTCTTAGTAAGCAGGAAATCTTGGATGACTCTTAGGAGAGGATAACTGCCAGATCCCGGGCTACAATTTTTCAGAATGTCTGGCCTTGAGGGGATCGTTTACCCATTAAGAGCATAAGGGACCGATCAGTCAGTTTGCCAGGTACTCCCAACTGCGCCTTCTACCTTGACCTGTCACACCCTCTGCCTCCAGAGGGACAGACAACCAACCTGCCCCTACCTCTGCATTAGCTGACTTGACTCAGCATGGATACCTAACCCAAAGCCAGACAATCTACTGGCATGTCAGAGGGTAAATTTTTCTCTTTGGATAATCTTAGGTAAGAGACATAGAGTTTTAGTCACAGGTTAAGCTAGAAGGTCATGAGCAGTTGATATGAGATGGTTAAACAGAACCCAGCAAGAATAGAGACCAGAATATATGTGTAGAAAATAGCAATGAAATCACAAGAGACATAAATATGAAGGCGAACACTTGACCCTGAGAGATCAGAAGAATAACCACCGTTCCTGACTTCCCATTTCCCAGCTCCATTTCCCTTGGACCTGGCTGTAACTCCTGTCCTTAGGGTCTTGAGGCCTCTTTGTGTTCTTTCAATAAAACACTTATTTCTTGAGTCAGCTGGCGTGGTTCTGTCCATTGCAACCAAATTGTCCTTAACTAAGATAAGCAAAGACCAGACACTTCAGGGGGAAAAAAAAAAGCTACCCACCCATTCATATATAGACTGTTGGCTCAAGATTTTGATTTGCAAGCAACAGAGACAAACTCTAAGATAATCAAGCCATTGAAATCCTATTGGGGGCACTTAGAATTGAGATTACAGGACAACATTCTGAAATGCACAATAAGCAAGATAATATAAATTCTTTTGGAAGCAGAAAGTACAGCTAGGGCCTCGTAACTACAATGTGCAGTTGGCACACTACCTCTGTGCAGAATGACCTCTAACTACTCCTCTTACTCATGCCACATTCTCTCAAGATTAACAAACTGAAGAGAAAGTGTGTAGACCTGGGACCATATCTATGCCTGGTTTCATGAGAGCAAGGAAAGGAAGGATTTGCTTTTTGTTCCCAGAGTGGGAGGCAAGCACACAGGTCTTCTCCTCTGAAAACCAGACACCATGGGAGAGGTAATTTCCTAAAAGGAAACTGAGGCCTTTTGTGAGTGGGAATGAATGCCAGGGATACTTTGAGACAGAGAAAAGTAACAAGAGACTCTATGCTGACCCAGAGACAGAAAGAACTACAGAGAGGTGATTTGGTATTCAACATAAAAAGTCATGCTTGGATGATTAGAGAAACAGAGTAGCCAGGTCTGTGAAATAATGAGCTCCCTGTCACTGAACTGTTCAAGCAAGAGCTGGATAACCATTAGTCAGTAACATTGAGGGGATTTCTGCATTGGATGACAAATGAGCTCAATGACTTGTTTGACGACTTACAATTCTTAATAGTATAAAAGAAAAGCACATTTAACTGCCTTGGGATAATGAGTACCATTTATCTACTAAACACTTTATGAAGTAGGTTTGCCTTTCATCTGCCTTGAAATTTTTCT